TTGATAATGCTGACTTGCATTACTCGTTTGCTGATGTACGTGGAAAGGTGGGTGAACCGGTGGCGCGCTTGGGTCCGCTTGGGTGGACTTGTATCGGACCTCCAGATGGTAGAGCGGAGACTGGAACAAGAACGCATACAATTCGAACACTGTTTACAAGGGATGTAGGGCCGGTTAGTGTAGCAGGTGGTTGTTGTGATTTAGATGGAACGCTTAGGAGGTTTTGGGAGATCGAGAGTTATGGAACTGAGCTAAATGACCGAGTCGTGTGTACTGCAGAAGAGAGATTGGCCTTAGAAAGGGTTAGCAGCTCAGTCTGCTACAACGGTGAGAGATACAGTGTTGCTGTGCCGTGGAAAGGACAGAGGCCTCAACTTCCCGATAATCGTCAGATGGCAGAATCCCGTCTTCTCAGCACAGAGAAAAACCTAAAAAAGAGAGAATTTGTTGAGAGAGAGTATAAGAAGACCATCGAGACTTATGTGGAGAAGGGGTACCTGCGTAAAGTCCCAGAAAATGAAGCACCGCCCCCTGAAGTTTGGTACCTACCACACTTTCCGATTGTTAGGATGAGCAAGTCTACAACCAAAGTAAGGATAGTCTTTGACTGTTCCGCCAAATACAAAGGAATCGCTCTTAATGATGTCATTCATGCTGGGCCGAAACTTCAGAGAGAACTCTTTGATGTTCTGATCCGCTTCCGCCGTAACCCGGTTGCCCTTGTCTGTGACATTCAAGAGATGTACCTCCAAATAGAAATTGAGTCTGAAGACCGACCGTTGTTTCGAATCCTGTGGCGAGACGGAGAAACAGGCCGCAACCCAGATGTGTATGAATTCTCTAGAGTTGTTTTCGGGAAGAACTCAGCTCCCTTCGAAGCCCAATTCATCGCCCAGGAGAATGCCAGGCGGCACCAAACCGAGTTCCCATTAGCTGCAGAAACTGTCCTTCAGTCCACCTACATGGATGATTCGTTAGACAGTGTTGAGGAGGACGAGAAAGGAGTCGACCTGTATCACCAGCTTAATGCATTGTGGGCAAAAGCAGGCATGCACGCCCGAAAATGGGTGTCGAATTCAGCAACGGTGATGGCAGCCATACCCGAGGAGGACCGAGCCACAGAAGTGGACATAAAAGACAGTAAGGATACAGTAACGACAACGCTTGGCTTACAGTGGAACAGCACCGATGATTTATTGGCCGTGCCTGCAACACCCGTGACCGAGGGCTACCCAATTACTAAGAGGAGTGTTTTGAAGAAAATTGCAACTGTTTTTGACCCGCTTGGCCTGATAAGCCCTTTCGTCGTACAAGCGAAGATTATGCTCCAAGAACTGTGGAATCGTGGCTATGACTGGGATGAGGAGGTTCAGGACGAAGTGGCTAATCGTCTTCAGGTCTGGTTCTCACAGCTGTCATGCCTAGAAAAGGTCAAGATTCCACGGTGTCTGCAAAACCAGCAACCAGTCAAGTCGAAGGAGGTGGTGACCTTTGTTGATGCCTCAACACAGGCCTATGGAGCTGCCTCCTACTTACGCTGCGAGTATGAAGATGGTACCGTGTCCGCACAGCTGATAGCTTCTAAGAGTAAGGTTGCCCCGCTTACCCCCATGACCGTGCCAAGGCTGGAATTAATGGGAGCCATAGTGGGTTTAAGGTTAACCCAGTCCGTGTCCAGAGTCCTGGAACTACCCGTGAAAGCAGCGTCGTTATTTTCCGACAGTACAGACGTGCTATGGTGGATTCGTGGAAGAGGCCGAGACTTTCGACCCTTTGTGGCAAACCGTATTGGGGAGATACAGATTAGTACTGAACCGGTACAGTGGCAACATGTCTCCACCGACAAAAATCCTGCAGACCTGTGTTCCCGAGGAACGAGCCCAGCTGAGCTTGCTAAATCCGAACTATGGTGGAATGGCCCGGAATGGCTGATGAAGGAGAAAAGTGAGTGGCCTAAGATGGAGTTAGCCGAAAGCCCGAAAGTGATGCCCGAAATGAAGTCGACAACAAAACAGCAACAGGGTTCTACCACCCTCGTGACAGTGCAAGAAAACCAAGCTCAGAGGGACAAGCCAAGTCAGGGTGGCAGTGTTCCAGTCTGGAGATTGAACCCGAAACGCTTCTCAAGTTGGAGCCGACTGGTGAACCTACATGCTAGAGTAAGGAGGGCGCTCCACAACATGTCGAAGAGGGGTCCGCGACAGACCAGCAAAGCATTGTCACCGTGTGAAATAAGAGAAGCTGAGGCAGAGGTGGTGCAATCCTGTCAGCGCGAAGCATTCCCTGACGAATACAAAGCTCTAGTGACCGGGAGACCAATACTGACCAAGAGCCGACTAATGAAGTTGAATCCTGTGTTAGATGAAGAAGGCTGTATCCGTTCAAATGGAAGACTCCAGTTCGCAGAGTACCTGCCTTACGATGTGCGATTTCCAATGATACTGCCTCGAGGACATTGTGTCACGAAGCTCATTGTCAAGCATTATCATGAACAGGCTAACCATACAGCAGGAACCAACTTTGTCTTGTCCCAAATCAACCAGAAGTTTTGGATCATTGCAGCCCGGGAAGAGATCCGAGAGTGGGAGCGAGAGTGCAACATGTGCAAACGAATGCAGAGCAAGACCGCTACACAGATCATGGCACCGATTCCAGGGATCCGTCTTCGCTTTACCTTCCGTCCCTTTGACCAAACAGCCGTTGACTATGCTGGCCCCTTTACAACCGTACAAGGACGAGGTGTGCGCCGACAGAAGAGGTGGCTGTGTTTGTTTACTTGTCTGTCAACCCGTGCGGTCCATTTGGAGGTGGCTTTTGGTTTGGACACCGACAGTTTTCTGAATGCCTTTACACGCTTTACAAGCAGACGGGGAGCGCCAAAGGAAATGATAAGCGACTGTGGGACCAATTTTGTTGGAGCCGTCAACGAACTAAAAGAACTGATCAGTAAGCTGGACCAGGACAAGATTCAGCAAAGCACAGCCAATCGAGGTGTAACATGGAGATTCAACCCCCCCGGGGCACCACACTTTGGTGGCATTCACGAGGCCATGATAAAGTCGGCCAAGAAAGCTATTTACGGAGTAATCGGAACGAGTGACGTAACTGATGAAGAGTTAATTACCGCAGTGACTGGAGTGGAAGGACTGCTCAATGCACGACCGCTCACCTACCAGTCAGCCAACCCCCAGGACATTGTACCGCTGACTCCAAACCACTTCTTACACGGACAGTTGGGCGGTCAATTCGCACCTGAAACCGTTGATACCACCGAGTTCAGTCCACGAAAACGTTGGCGAAAGGTCCAGGAGATAATTTCCCAAGTCTGGAGGAGGTGGCTACAAGAGTACCTTCCTTTGTTAAGCAGAAGGCCAAAGTGGACCGAAGTGGTCAAGGATCTGAAGGTGGATGATGTTGTTCTCGTCCTGGATTCTAAACTGCCAAGAGGACGATGGCCTCTAGGACGCATCATCGAAACTTATACAGGAAGGGATGGCCACATCAGAGTCGCTAAGATCCAATGTGGCGCAAGCACCATCGTTAGACCAATTCATAAACTGGTGCCCTTGCACGAAAGTTAGAACACTGAACATTTCTCGTTGTTATAGTTTTCTGTTTCAATCTTTTATCGAACAATCACACTGATCCTTACCTCCCAGTGTGGGGAGGGGGAAATGGACAAAAGACATTTCGAGTCTCGCGTCACGCAATCGCACGCGTGAGTTTTTAGTGATCAGATTTCATTTTTTTGATTGACAGTTACTCTGATTTTGTAATTCACACGCGGTCGGGTTTTTGTTGTTGTCATGAGTTGTTATCAGAACATGTAAGTTTTAGGAGCCGTAAAATTAAAACCGTGAGTTTATTTAACCGACGAGATATCGTTTGTTGTCTTCGCAACAGTGTGAGTATGGGCCGATTGACATTTTGAAGGCTTGCAAACTTTTTTAACCAGCACAGCACTTATTCTGTATTCTACAGAATTTTTGGCTTCCTCCCGCCTTTTGTTATGTATTCAGTCTATAAACTTGTAGCTGAATAAATGACCCGAAGATTTTATCTAATTTTTCTTCCTTTCTTTTCTCATCCCAATCTTATTTTATCTCATTCATAATAATAATAATAATAATAATAATAATAATAATAATAATAAAAATATTTATCCAGGGAGCCCACTCGCCTAAGCAGTTTTCAGAGGGACCCTGGCAAATAATAAATGACAAAATGACAAAATAAAGAAATAAAGGCTAATAACCTACCTAAACAAATTAAAAACTAAGAAAAGAGATTAAAATTGATATTTATATATAAAACTAATTTTAAAATAGTTTTAAAATTGAACTAGGTAATTTACAAAGTTTTTAGCTTTGCCTTACAAAGGGACAACAATGATTTGCTGTTTTTAATGTCATTCAACGTTTACAGGAGGCGCGCTCTCGCGTCAGAGCGCAGAAATGGTTCCAAAAATTGGGCCAGAAATTGCTAAAGAACCGGCCACCTGACCAGTTTAACTTCATGGTCCGGAAGGATCCATCCTAAGGATGTGCCGATCATGTCCAGCGTAAACGGTCCCCTCACTAAGCGATCATAGGGCGACCTACCCCTAGACAAGGAACGAGCAGTGAAATCGAAATCCAGGTGTCGCTCTCATAAATATATCTTTGCGCTCAGTCTCTTACATGTGGGATAAATTTTTTCAAGCAAAATAAAGTTTTCTGAAAATTACCTTTAAGGTTATTGAGACCATCGTAAAGGCGACAAAAAAGAAAAAATCCGGGTTAATTTTTTTAAAAATTTAACACATTGGAAATCAATTCACAAACTCAAGCCATTTTTTCTAACGCGCATGCGTGATAGGCATATCTTCTTCATTTCACTGTTTCTATTAGGATTTTACCATTCTTGGGAGACAATACACCAAAAACGAAAATGAGAGGACGCGTGCATTACAGAAGGCCGAAAGCTGATCACGAAAAAAGGCGAAACACAAAAAAAGGTACCTTTTGCAAAGCGTTAAAGATTCTCGTTCCCATTTCATCAATACTATCTTGTAATGTTCTACCAACAGTAAGTAGAGTCTAGAGAAAACGAACAAACAAACAAAAAAAATTACTCATACACACTTGCACACAAGTAGACTGCGGCTTATTTGGGGTCCGCACCGGAAATTGAGTGGAAAAGGTTTTTCCTTCAAGGAGCAGGTTTGTTTCTTGGAAAACAATTATAAAATCATTACTAGTAAAAGCACGGATTCCAGGCATAATTTATGCAAAACGGGCTTGCCAACGATACTATAGGGAATAGCTGCAAAATGACAACTGCATGCAGGAGGGCAAGTAAACTATTAAGATACATACAGCTGCTGGTCACTTTGCTTGCTGAATAGCACGCAAGCATTTTAGTGCTACCTTTAGCGGAAAGCTAAACGACAAACATTTATCAAGGAAAAACCACAAGAATAATCAATACTTACAGCGCGACTACTGTAATCGGTGCCACTTAGACAAAGTTGACCGATCTGATTGCAGGAAAATGACAATACATACAGTAGCTCGTAAAAAAACAATAAGTTATTCAAAGCACAAAATTTAATAGCAAACGTTTTTCAGGAAAGCAAAATGTTTCATGTTTTTCTATTCAAATCTTTGCATACAACACCAAGGAGACATATTTCTTTGACACAAGCTGCTATTTTGTCATCTGCAGGCAATTTCTTCGCTACTATTGCCACGCTTTGCAATAACATGCGACCGCAAGTCAAAAATATAACTATCGTCAACGTTTTCGCCTCCGTCACTCACTCTAAGGGTTGATTTCCAATGTCGCGTAATTTTTACGTACGTACGTGCGTAAAATTTTCGTTCGCAAATAAAATAGCTCGTGAGCGTAAAAGTTGAACCTCGCTCAACTTCTCGTTTAAGCTCAGCACTTTTTATCTTGCCTCTATTTTATTTACGTGATTAAGATTTACGTGCGTTAACGTGCGTAAAAAAACGCGTCAGTGGAAATCAACCTTACCGGACCTCTCGGGAAACACGTGCTTTCTTCAGCAAGTTCAAAAGGTGACATCTGTTAGGTTGTAATTGGTTGATTTCGATCCATGTTGCTAATTTCGTTTTGTAGTAATTACGATTGAAGACTAACTTTCTAGGAATGTATTGTTGTTTTCCTGTAATCCAATTTGTCAACTTCTTCTTGGTGGCCCCGGTTATGGAAGTCGCACTGTAACATTTCAGCTTTAATTTGCTGTATCAAGGTTTGGGGAAATTCAGGGACCTTTAAAAGACCTTTATAAGGCTTTTTTGAACTCGAGGACATCATTTAAAGGGTGTCCTCTGTAATTCAAATTTTAATGACTTTGCGTACTCTGTAAATATGTATGAGAGGTAATATGGAGACGGGGCGAACAAGGAAAAGGGTCAATAGGGAATCTATGGGAACAGGTATTTGCATGGAAGGTAGGTAGGCAGATAGGCAGGTACTACTAAACTAATACTAAGAAGCAAGCAAAAGGGACTATTTATTTAAATTAAGGACGAAACAAGCCTTTAAACCTGCGTGAGACCAGCCTCAGCCACTTGCTCAAGTTTACCGGCATTTGCTACTCCCTGTAAAGAGGTGAAGAACACTTATTAAGAACCCAATACACTAACCAAGCAACAACGAAAAAACAAACTGCACAGAAAGCTGCCTGATATATCTTTAGTAAGTAAAGCCATTTTACCCAAAAGCGCTTTGATAACTTACCAGAGTAGAAAGGGGGGGGAAGGGGTATGTATAGCTTAAAGAGAAAAGGGGTTAGGGCAGGGGAGGGAAATCATTTAGTATTGCATACCTGAAGGCTAGCGAAAGTGTGAAAGTTGTTTCTTATCTTTGCAGTACAGCGGGGCTCCTTGGCAAAGTTGTGTACGTCACTTACGAAGTCCATATGTGTCCGAACACTAACAAAAGAAGAGGAAAAAATGCGATAAAGAATAATTTGATCAGAAACCAACCATCTCCCCACACTAGGGATGTGCAAAAAAAGAAAATTCAGAATACCAGCCAAACTTTAAAACTAAGGTAAAATTGGTGTTTTACTTACCCACTAACGCACCACAACAGGGAAAAAACGTTTAACCAGACCAAATTATTAAATCGTTAATTCAAGTGTTCCACGCATTATTATCTTCAGCACGTTAAAGATGTCTGATTTTAGACGGCAAATTTTTGCAGCGTGTGATATATATCACACACTGCAAAAATTTGCTGTCTAAAGCGAACTTTCCCCTTCTTATTTATGCCACACTTGCTGATCGTAACTACAACACATTCAAATTAAATGAGTTAATTAAATCGTTAATTCAAGTGTTCCACGCATTATTACCTTCAGCACGTTAAAGATGTCTGATTTTAGACGGCAAATTTTTGCAGCGTGTGATATATATCACACACTGCAAAAATTTGCTGTTTAAAGCGACCTTTCCCCTTATTTATGCCACATTTGCTGATCGTAACTACAACACATTCAAATTAAATGAGTCAAGCGAAAAGCAGAGTTTGAGACTTTTTCCTTGCATGTCCGTGTATTAAGCCTTGAGATGTCACCTAGGTGCGCTCAGCAATTTTATTAGGGAGCTTAAGCAACAACGACGGCGACGGCGAAGAAAACATCACTAAGAAAGGGAATTCGCGCTGCCTCAAACTTTAGAGACCTTAAGATTCAAGGACGAGAACGACTACGAGTACGAGATTTGACTTAAAGTTTTTTCACATATTCTCAAAATATAGACTCCCCGGGAACCTTCATTTTACCATTTTTCACCAGAAAAGTTAGCACTGTTACCTTTAGTGAAGGAGATTACGCGCTCTCCCGGTCGCAAAACGATAAAACTTCCAACATTTGATAACTCGTTTTCCCCACTTCGGCATTCTCGCTAAAATTCGTAGTAGAGTGACGACGGCTACCACGTTTTCCCGCCAAAATGACGCTGGTTAACGCGCGAGCACTACTTAGTACTGAGAAAATCTCGCACTCGTAGTCGTACTCGTCTTAGAATCTAAAGGTCTCTATTATTGCGCTTGTTCCATCTCGTTTAATTCGTCAAATGTTGGCAAATTTTTTTGGAGTTGAATTCTAAAGGACTTTATCAAAATCAAGAAAAGAAAAAGAAAGTTATCTTGTGTTCGCCCGTCCTCGAAAAAACGTGAAATTAGGCACTTTCACTTCGTAGTCGTGTAAAGACGGCTGAGAAATTAAATGTGCAAAAAAGCGTGATGTCAATGCAGACAAAGTTGCAAAGTTGTTGTTTTGCCAATCTAAACATATTGCTTTTTGGCCGTTCTCGTTGCCGTCGCCATCGTCGTTGCTTGAGATCCCTTAAGATTTCAACCCTCACGTAATATTGCACAATGCCGGTGCTCTTTTTTTTCTGGCGAACATGCTATAATCAGTTTAATTAGGTCACCAAAAGGAGACTTTGTAAGAATTTGAGCTTGGAGCACGAGTGCATACTGAGCTTTAAGAAGGTTTGATTGGTATCATTTCTAAACAATGTCTCCCTTACTTGATAGCTGAGCAAAAATTATCGATAGCAAAGTAAAAGAGTTACGCATGCGCTTTTCTTAGTAGGTCTACTTACTCGATATTCTTTGTGTCCAATGACAGCCACGCACTGAAGTGTTTGTTCCTCATAATAAGTGCATGTACTCCCTCGATGTGTTTACATTCCTCATCGCTCAATTCATGCAGTGCGCCGCTCGTACGCACATTCATGAAGTTTGTTTCAAACACATTTGAACCTGCCCCGACTTTGTGAAGGAATTCAGCTTCTCTGACTCTCTCTTTGATAGTTTGTGACGCTTTATCGTTATGAACCGTCTTTCTTGATTTATAATCTGTCCTTTCCTCCTCCATCTGTGATTTAGAAGACGTTGATTTTTCTCCTTTCTCAAGACTTTCGTCGGCTTCAACAGTTGCATGTTTATTCTGTTTTGAATCCTTGTCACCATTAACATTAAATTTTTCATTCGCATTTCGATCAGGAGAGGAAATTTTTCCTTCGCCTTCTCCATTATCTTTACCAGATTCTTCTAAATTTTGGTCCTCTTCTTCCGAGGTTTTTTCCACGCCTGAATCCTGGTCAGAAGAAATCTTTAACTCGCTCTTATCGACCACCGTTGAATCAGAGTTTTCAGCCCCCTCGCTCTCTCCGACCGGGGCCACTATTTCGCTTTGCTTGGAACCTTTCATTTCGCTGTTTCCAACAACATTTAAATCAGAATCCTTCTCGCTTTTTCCATCGATGGTTTCGTTTCTGTCAACCTTATTCTCTTCACCATTCTCTCGCACTTTCTCTTTAAGAGAAGACTGATCGCTTGCCATATCGTTTGACGAAACTTTAGCGGAATCATCGCTTCCTGTTTGCTCCGAGTTTGTTGTGGACTTTGAAAAATCCGTTTCAGCATTAGTTTGCGGAATAGTAAACGGAGTAGTCGAGCTCTGTGTTTGCAAGTCTGTGTCTTGAGTCAAACACTCCATTGCCGAGGCTTCTCCTTTCCGCCTTTTCGCCCCCACACTATGACAATTCTGAGCCAAAACCAACATGTCTTGACTCTGGAGGGGAGGGGTGTGTTTAGGTCCAATGTGACGGCTCCCTTTAGCTTCTTCAAACAGTAACTCAACGTTCGAATCTTCCCGCGTGTTCTTGGACGCCATCTCATTCCATTTCAAACCCGGGCCGTTTTTGCTTATCAATAAAGATTCTCCTTTTTGCTTGGAAAACTTAGTTTCCTCTAAGAAAATTATTTCAGCATTATCTTTTCTGCGATCGGAATCACGGCTGGGCATCATAACGCCGATTTCTCCCCTTCTTCCAACACGCTGAGAGTCTCCAGCTTTCATTTGCGCGCTTTTAGTAGAAGTCGCTTTAATAGGCGTAGAGGTCGTTTTCGAGGCATCTCCGCTATCGACGCTGGAACCCGATTGTGACGACATTTCGTCGGCAACATCCATTGTGCTTGATGCGGATTGACGAGAACAGCTTACAGTTTTTATGATACTATTTAATCGATTAAGCGCCAATCGAGCCTCTTGGAGGTTACGCATCGTTTCTTCTTCTGACGATATGTTAGAATTATCAGACGGAGCATTTGCCGCTTCACTGAGCGTTTCACTTGTTTTATCGAGCCTCTCAATACCAGACTTGCCGTTTTGAACCAGGAAACTTAGTGGTCTACAGACAACCATCAGGTGAAAGTCCATTCCTCACCCGAGCTATCTAACCCAGTATCCGCACCTAAAAAGGTCCCAAAATTAGACTTAACATCGTGAAAACAAAAGGCGGGCTTGATATTTAGAGTCTTCCCGACTGCTGGCAGATGTCACAGTTTCTCCGCTCAGGGCTTCATTTGTTTGTTTATCCTTTGGGCCACCGGGATCAGATTGCGTGGGTAAATTCTAAGAGAGAAGGAAACTGATGTTACAATAGAACTTGTCATAAATACAAACGGGATCGGGGTCGGCACTGCCTTTAGACTGTTACGTCCCTTAAGGTACTTTTAAGTTCCGCAGAGTCAGATTAAGTGAAAGTACTACTAAAGATTTATGATCACAGTGTCTATAGTAGAACTGCTTTTTTAGGGGCCGTTCATTTTTTATCAGGTATTGGGGGCGGGTAGGATGTCAGTGTGGAGGGGGGGGGGGGAGGGGTGCAATGCCAAATAATATGGCGTCAAAGGGGAGGAGGACAGTCAAGACGAAAAATATGGTGTGTACAGCGGGGGGAGGGTTAGTGAGAAAAACAACTTTTCAGGTTAGCAATACACATTAAGCCTACAACAGAAAGCAGCTAAAGGAACTAGCGCACGCTGTTGGTATGTTCATCGTACACCTTCGTGTTTAGTGTGAACACTCATTCAACCTCGTTACCTTTTCCAGAGGAGAAGCTCTGCTCTTGCACGTATCTTGGTATCTACTGCTGTCCTGTATAAGTGCAAACATTTGTTTAAGCTGCATCTTGAATACCTCCAGAGGAAGTAATTGCTTCTTTTCCAGTTCCTCACTGCTAAGTTTTGTAGTTAAATCTAGTTCAGGAGTTTTAAGACTATCCATTGACTCATTAAAATTTCTGCAACAGAGATAGACAATTGTTTAGGATAACTCCTGTCAAGACAAACCCCATGAGAGCTTATACTATTATGCACTGGGAGGAAAATACAAGGGGGCATCCCCACTTTTGCGCACCTAGTGGAGTTCCCACCTTAAAAGGATGGGGGTGCCCCCTTGGTGAGTATCCTAGCCTTGACTTGGAAGCAAGGCTGGAGGTTATCATGGTCTTTTGTCTTATGTTAGACTGCGAGCAGTCTCTCTTTTCCTTCAGATTTAGTAAGGGGAGTGTCTCGGGCGATTTGCTCTGCGGATCAAGAAAAAAGAGAGACTGCTCGTAGTCTAGTCTTCTGTATATATGAAGAGACCCAAGGTGTCTACTAAAGGGGCTATGTCACATAACTAGTATAATTTTACCAAATCAGTGAGTAGTAATTTTCGCGCATTTTGATTGGCTCCCATAACTCGGGATATCCTTGGCTATTCACTGTTTTGCGACCGGAGCCAAGATGGCGTCTCGCGCGTGCCGAGACATTTTCGGAAGACGAAATTTGAGCGATAAATGAAGCAGTCGTACGAACAAATACCACGAAAGCGACAACCTTTGGCTTGTCGGTGTTTACTGGTACGTAGAAAATTATTTTCATGCTGAGTTTGCAACAAAATCGTAAAAATGTTAAGAATATCCCCTAAATGTTTGCAAACTGGAAACAAAGTTCCTACCAACTGACGTTTTTAATTTACGAAAAGGTACTTTTTTTCACTTTTATCGAACTGACTTGGTAAATACCAAAACAACTATCCCCCTATGGTTGGTGAACAGTATACATCGACACTTCGTGTCTCGGTATACAGCTATTTCGAGAAAGGTTGTGGGGAAAAGTGCACGCGACAATCCCGAAAGGTATTGTGGGTAGTTTTGAGTTCACTTTTCTTCAAAGAAATTTGAAAGAATGGCACGAGAGGCCATGGATGTATGTTTGCGAGAGCTAAAGGAAAGCAACAAAAGTAGGTTCAACAGCGACAGTGTCAGGAACAGTGTATTGATCATACGGCGCTTTTCATAAGTCAGAACTGGCCGGCCGGACCATGGCCAGACCAGGCATTTTGGAAATGAAACAGCCTTTTCCAAGAGGATTTGCTGAAAAACCATCTCTTTTGAGCATAATGTGTAGGATTTGACTGATCTGGATGGTTTATTGTTGATTAAAAGTGAAATTCCCATTACGATGGGAATAAGCTGGTCAGTCAGAGCCTTTTCCAAGAGGATTTGCTGAAAAACCATCTCTTTTGAGCATAATGTGTAGGATTTGACTGATCTGGATGGTTTATTGTTGATTAAAAGTGAAATTCCCATTACGATGGGAATAAGCTGGTCAGTCAGTTCTGACAAATGGAAAGTGCCCATATCCCATATTACCTTTCGGGATTGTCGCGTGCACTTTTTTTCGGACAACCTTTCTCGAAATAGCTATATATCCATCACTATTCACCTTCCCTTCGGGGAATAGTTGTATACTATTTGCTATTGTTTTAAAAAGCTGTAGTAAAACAAGTCTTTGCATCAATTGAATTCCATAGAAAATGGTGCAGTTTTGTTATTTACTAAGACTATAACAGGGTTCGCAAATACGCCAAATTTGGCGTATTTTACGCCAAAATTGTTCAGATGACTCCACTGAAGTTACGGAGGGAGTCACTTCGACTCCAAAAATTTTCGATAACAAACAGGGAGCCACTTCGACTCCAGAAATTTTCGGTAACACAGTTTTGTCCTTACCTTTTTCGCAACAAATACAATTTAAGTTAATTGCAAACGTTGTAAACCTTAATTAAGTCATCGAAATTAAAGAATTATACTGCACGACAAAACAGGAAGAGGGTAAATTACGATCGAAGTTTACTCGATGACCGCCATCATGGATTTGAGTTTTCCAGGTCAGCGGACCGCACAGCTACTTCGTGTATCCCTTACGATAGTGTATACATGCCAGGACCACGTGCTGGAAAGTCTGATTCTTGACTCCAAATATTCCAAAATGACTCCAAAATTTGTGAAGCAGAAGTCAAACTAACTCCACTCATCAATGAGATTTGCAAACCCTGCTATAATATTATATTATTTAGGCATTGAAACTGTGTCATGTTGTGTGTTACTACAAAAGTTTATCTTTTTGAAGTTTATCTGCTTAGCGCAGATGTACAAGATTATTTTCGGACACTGACATAGATCCTTATGTGTTTTTTGATTTTAATGTATTAGCGAAAACGCGTAGGAACCATAATTTTTAGACGACACGAAAAAATTACTTTAAATTTTTATTTTTCAATAGCTACATAACAGACTGGAATAGTATTCCATCGAACATTATGCATGCACCATTCATTACGCAGTTTTAAGTCCTATCTATTAGATCATTTGTGTCAATTTTAAATCAGGTGTAACTCGTGAGTGACAACTACATGCAATTCAGTTAGGTTAGTTTTGGGCCGCATTTAAATTTTACTTCTTAATTTTTAGTAAGTTTCATATTCGAGAATATTCTTTGTATGGGAATTTAGTTTCCTCCAATTATTATCCACTCATGCACTTTTTGTATTTTCTGTAATTTATTTACTTGTATTAGCATGACTATGTATTACTAGACTTAAACTTAAAATAAAAGGTGAGGATGGATATGGATTTAAACTTGGCAAATTTTTTCAAGTTTTAATGGTGTGCCTGAAAAAATAATAAACAAATTACAAAAATATTATGTTAAGTGCTTGCTAAAGCAATTTATTTTGCATCTTCTTCAAAACTCTACATGAGCATTTTTTTGGTGTGTGTGTATGGGTAAATACACTAAATTATGACTTAAGCTTGCACAGAATAGACTAAAGACAGCAATATCTTTGAAACATAGCCGCTTTAAATCATTTAAAGTGACCGCCATTCTTGCTCAACAGACAACTGTAAATTGGAATGAAGATTGACTGTCGAAACGACCACCTCCCCTGTAAGCACGTTAACACTTAATCTTTGCATTCTGGGTGGTTGCTAACAGGAGGGACAACCGTAACATAACCTGTGAGACATTATTTTATTGTACATATATGTAACATGGTACATGGTAGACACATATTCATTAAAAGAATGTGAAGAAAACACTTACAAATGCTGCTGCTGTAAAAGATCCGTTAGCTTCAGCTCACACCTCACTGCTTTCACCCGTTCGCACAAAGATTCTGTGTCTGGTGACATCACTAACATGAATCTGTAGCTCAGATCTGCCATTTCATACATCTTTAGTGACTGTTGAGAGAGAAAATTATGAACTTAAGTGGCAAAAAGAACAAAATGATACTTGCAAGAATTAAAAAGTTACATGTTCCAATATTACAGTATTAGCTTCTTAAGGTTGGTTACTGAACCCCATAAATGGAATTTTCAATTTCTGGCGTTTGACATTCAAAATTGATTACTGTAAACTGCCACTGTTTTTTGTTTGCAGGTACATTTGTACATGAGCCTATAACTAGGGGGCTTATAACCAGGGTGGGGCTTATAGCAGCAGCAGTGAGCATCATGACTGGCTCAGCAAAACCTTAAAGCAAAATGTATGCACTCTGCATTTTCTAACATGGGTAATCAAGGACTTGGTGTCTATAAAACACTGTAACAGAAATAATATCATTCTTTGTATTTCAAAGCCATGGAATTTGTTTGGTGTTGAAAACTAATCCATCTGGGTTATCAGTACTTATTCTGTATGCGGCTGACAAGTACTATTTACAGTCACGTAACTCACAGCATAGATATTTCCAAGGAGAAAATGATACAATGAAAGCTCATTGCCAGTGTCCATGGCTGCATGAAGCAAAACCAGTGATTCATGGCTGTAATTTGCATGGTACAGCACTGCTGCAAGGCTCACTAATGCCTGGTCTTTATGCTCCCTAATAAAAATAAGTGAAATTGAGTTTAGATTTGAATCATATAGCTGTAAAGAGTAAAAGTGTTTTATAAGGTTTAAAAACTTTATGGAAACCATAAATTAAGTGAAAATATAATGGCTTGGTCTTTCATAGGTCTATATATAATCAAAATAATGTTAAATTACATGGGCACCTGGAGAACACAGAATTTCTCTTTGAGTGTTCAAAAATATCTCACTTGTTTGCCACGCTCACTTGTGAAATATTTTTCTACACTCCAAAGAGAAATTTTGTATCTCCAAACGACCATGCAATATCCTCTATATACTCTACTGCTACCAGAAGTTTATTACCTAGGGGAAAAATACAAAGCTTGACGAAGGCATTCTATAGCCTCTAAACCATTGCCTTTGATTCTCCAATAATAAGCTGCAAGATTAAGTAAAACCCAGGAACTGGAATTCTGCATGGAAAACAAACCATAAAAAGTAAATTTTGTGGTCAAATCAAACCATTAGACAGTAAAAATAATCAATATTGTTGTACACTGTTTACACTAAAGTACAGCTGAAAAACTGAATCTTCAGCAGAAGGACTCAGAGGGTGCACTGCCTCTATTTCATTTATGCTCATAAATTTTTTGCATCTTTACACATAGAAAATTATGCAACAGTGGAAATCTGCCCAGCTTAAAGAGTTGGTCATTTTAGAGAGCTTGAAACAATAATATTTTATATATTTAAATATTTAACATTTTAATATTTTAACAGACCTGCTCCATTGCCACACTGACATGACCACCTAGATCTTCTGCAGTCTTAAAGTATGAGGACAATGATGCCAACAGTGTTGGCTCAACACTGGCATTTAACTGGTGTTTACCATTAACACCCTCAAGATGGTCATAACTGTATATGACAGTTGGCAGTTCATTTCTGCAATAGGGAGGTTCAAAGTGGGAAGGCAATGGCTGACACAAGCTGACATGGTCTGGAATGCTGGAAATAAAAACAAATAATGAAAAAAAATCATATTAATAATATTTTAAAATACTGTCACCTTGCAGATGCATAATGTGGCTGAATCAAATTTAGGCTAATTTCAACTCCAGACAAGTAAAAGTGATTTACAGGGGCACACCTAGGGGCAATTCAATTTGGGTTTTTACAGCTTTTGGCATTTTGGCCTCTTATTGCCCGTGTTTGTACCTGTAAGTGTGTTTTGTTCCCTAACCTTCGACTGGTTAACTGTGCCGTAATAATGCCTGGGTGGATGTCACCCACAGGTTGGTTACAGCTGTATGCATTAGTCCAGCTATACTAGCATTTTGGGCACCTCCCCCTTTGCTCATTGTAATGCTCACTTTAACACCAGTGTGTATTTTTACACCGAACTACAGTCAATTAAAACCTCTTATTCTAGAAACTTGTATCAAACAAACTCTTCTTGTATGTGGAAAATTTGATAATTTGTCATTTATTGATTGGCATTTTGTCAACCCAGTCCACGAGTTAGAGATTTTGTTCAGAGGAATAAGGGCACATTCTATTAACTAAGGAAGGTTGGATGGTACTATACATTAAACAGTTGAGAAAATTAGTAAGTTTTGGTTCAGTTCAATCTCTGCTGGTGATTCTAAACACCAAAGGCTTAGTTGACTTATTATAATCAGATACATGAATACAGTTGACTCCCAATAACTTGAACCCTCGCTAACTCAAACCTCGCGATAAGTCGAACAAAAATCGATTTCCCCTGGATTTCCATCATACATTTGCTGTGATTTTACCCTCGGTAACTCGCACCCTCGATAACTCGAAACTCCCGCTAACTCGAAGTAATTTTTGTTCCCCCTCAGATCATTTCTATATAATTTTACCCTTGATAACTTGAACCATGTTTTGAGCCCTTAAAAAGTCGGGGACAAAACAGAGTACTGGCCTCTGAAACATTGAATTTTGAATTTCCCATTGACGTTTTGTAGGCAGATAGTTTACTAGTGGATCGATAGTGGAGGCTAATGTTGTTTGTCACAAATCTAACGTGAAATAGCTTTACCTCTCAAAAAGTAAAATGCATGCTCTGTTTAGGCAATGTTTTGTTTCTTTATGTTCTTATTTATAATCTAAAAGTATCTTTCAATTTTCACTCAACATTTCTACAATTAAATGTGATTAAAATGCTCACTGTGCAGTAAAAACTGTTTTTTATCCTTACTCCCGGCTATTTTCTTCGAGCTCCCAATAACTCGAACCTTTTTCGATTTCCCTTGAAGGTTCGAGTTATCAAGAGTTGACTGTATAGTCAATGACTCTCAATAAAAATTGGCCAAAGGAAAAGTAAACAAAAAATTGCCAGGTCCCATGACTATTAGTAAAGTGTTGGACTTCTCCCAGGGGTTGCATGTCAGAGATGGGAAAACAAACAATCACAAATTAATTATTATTACTTGATGTCATTCGTAGTAAAAGGATTTGTCATGTCCAAATACAACTTAAACTCTGAGATGTGTTTCCCGGCATCAACACAATCTGGATCTTCTTTGTAGAAAGTTAGTTGGATTTCAGCTCGTTCCCTCTCCCTTGCTTCTATAACCTTCCTTTTTTCTTCGAGATATTCTTCTCGTAAAATTTTAAGTCTGTCATATGCACTCTGCTGATGAATGAAGGTGACCAAGTCATATGGACTTTTGAGATTAAAGATGGAGTCAGCCTAAAAACAAAGAGACATCAGAATAATATAGTCAGCAGTTTTATTTTCTAACAAATCCCAGATCTCTGCAATTGCCTGGGAATTATGGTACCTTGTTTAGTTATAAAATGAATAGGTGCTGGAGGAGAGCGCCTGATCATAGCTGAGCAAAAAGGGCAAACATACAAAAAATCGTTATCCATTGTTAAGGCCTGAAACTAAACAGAAACTGAGGCTCTTAAGGTATCTGCACCAGTAAATTTTGCACATCTTTGCATCAATTTTAATAGTTATTTTATAGATAATATCTACATTTTTATATATCACTACATGGACAGTATTTCTCAGTTCTTGAGGAACTAAAAGATATCAAAATAAACTATGCTATGTCACCCAAAAGGTGTTAATTTAACTACCCCTTAGGGTGGTACGGAAAGAGAAAAATCAAAATTTCAAAAGAATCCTTAAAGTTATCGTCAAAAAACAAATGTAACACAGATAAGGACATTTTAATAGAATAATCCTGTGTTTGACCATGACACAGCTTGAATTAATCCACCTTCTATGGCACAGTGTGCTATTTTGTAGTTTGATCCACATGTTGACTTCAATAACACAGCTGTGCAGCAATTAATCTTTGACCAAACACAGATCTCTTCAGTAACATGCTCTTTGTGTATTTGCTACACTTATAATCCATTCTGTTTCTCCAAAAACTGGTTGCCGTTAGTCAAGGTAAATCGGTCACATGGTAATTAACGCTTTTCCAGTGTAAAAAAGGTTATTTTCTTCTCAAAATCAGCTGTTTTTCCTCGATAATTACAGAACTTATTGCCCGCCATTTTGAATCACCAATGTGTAAAATGCTCGTGGAAGCCTAAAAAATGTCAAATAACCTGTCTATGGACCCCTTTAATTTTGATACGTGACTGGTTTCTAGGTGTGACGCACTTCCAGAAGATGCGTTACGCAGTGTCGGCTTTAATTCAGTGAGGCATGCTGAAGTATGAAGATTGAAGAAGAGTGTTATTCAAAATTGAAAATGAATTGCTTCTGTAAAGAGAAAGAAATCAGCAGAAAAGCAAACCAGAGGATTAAGGCCAAGAAACCATTTTACTCTCCCGGCAAAATTGTCAAAATAATAATTTATTATATCAGGTGAGAAGAAACGCTGATGTAATATCAATTTTATACAATAAGTCCTGGAAAATGGAGTATGTTTCAAGAACATAACGAATTTTGACAAGAAGCAAGTAGTATTAGTCATCACAGCTTGAACAGAATCAATAAAAATCAAGTTGGACATACAGCGACTGTGGTTTGCAAATGAATCAAGGCAGTGAATAAATTTTGTTGTGCACATCAGTAGAACTTGATGCTGAAAAGAGGAGTCAAATTGCATTTCTGCCATCTCCCGCAGTCTTTTTTCTTAGTGACGGAAATGAAAATTCTTCTTTTCTTCTTTAACTTCTGGTACATTGGTCAACGTTTGAGTAGATATTCACTTAAATTCCAAGGTATATTCGAAAAAGAAAACAAAATATGCATACTACATCACCTGAACTTACTGAAGAAAGATTTTAAGGGCACAACAAAATGTTGAAAATTTGCCGGTGCAGATACCTTAAGCTGTTAATGCCGAGCTTTATCATGACTTAAAGAAAAAAAAATTAGAAAACTCTTTGAGATTTAAACATGAGACCTCTGCCAGCCACTGATTGAACTGTACCTGAGAAGATGGTGAATTAAATTTGTATATTAAATTTAAAGATAGTGCCATCATGGCGTGAAAATTTATGTTTGGAACACCAGAGAATATTTTACCTGTCAATTTCACAGAAAAAGTGTTTACTACAATATAACATGTATTTCATTGTCTGCAATTCAAGTTTCAAAGGGACTGATATTGATAGTTGATACATTAGCTAATACACTTTATTATTATATACATACTAAGAAATACTCACCAAAAAGCTATGTCGTAAATTTTCGTACGCAAATTAGTTCTAACCAATCAGAGGAGCGAACGATGGTTTTCACATGTGAAAAAAATGATACGTCCAATCAGAATGGCGAACGATGTTTTTTCACGTGTGAGAAAAATGATACGTCCAATCAGAAGCCACAGAGGTGTGTGAGTTTCGCGCCAAAATTCCCGCCTTTTATTGCAGCTTGCAGCGCTGCTTCGCACACATTCAACGAGAAAAGTTTTACTCAAAGAGTTTTTCTCGCTAAAAAAATGAAAAACATTTCGGAAATGGAATGGAATAGTTTCGTTTGTTTCACTGTCGATAAAGAAAACGGTAGAGAGCCGGCTAAACAACAGCGGAAAGGGAAAAACAGAACAAGACGTAAGCTTTTGTTGTGTTTTTTGTCAGAGCTACTTTGCCTTTCATTTAAGCTTAAGCTTATATTGAAACCGGCCATTTTAATTAAATTCACTCAGTTTCAATTCTGCATTGAGAACAAACAGTTAAGATTACTTATAGTTCTTGGATTACCTCATATCCTTACCGTCATTTATGTTTTTAACAAACGTTTTTACTAAAAGCTGATACTTCGTTATCGTTGTCATTTTGCGGTAAGTGTGTAGCGGCAAATTTTAGCATTTTTGAAAGATTTAAAATAAAAAGGCCGCCAAAATGATAAATGTCTCAGTATGTATATAATAAACACAATACCACATGGAAAGTGCTTTGTACGGTATTTACGCACTCGTTGTTTTTGTATCAGAAATCTTACTCGTACGCTGCGCTCACTTGTTCGATTTCTGATATGTCAACAACTCGTGCGTAAATACCGTACGCCAGCACTTTCCATGAAGTATTCTCTATTTATTCATTCAAAATATTTCCCCATATCTGATTGGCTAAAGCACACGCATAATTCACGACAATCAGTTACTGATGACCAAATTTGGAAGAATTTCGTGTTTAACGAGGAAATGACGTCAAAAATGCAGCCTTCTACAGGTTAATGCACCATTAACCGAGAAGACCTGGGGATGAGATTGAGTTATTTTTGTTGTAAAAACTAAATTGGTGGACACTCCACTCGTTTCAAGAGTAAGAACTACAGCTGGAACTAGGCGAAATAATGGCTAAAAACATAGCAAAAACAGCAAGAAGACAACTCTGAGGGCGACATCTGCTATTTGGAGAATATTTGCGGAGCTGGACAAACCTAAACATAAACTATCGAAGATAAACTTAACATCGATGCAGGTAAGCTTGTTTTAGCTATGTTTTTACACTATGAAATATTTTCAATGAATAATAAAACAATTATTGAATTCAGCTTTCGTATCTTGGAGGGTGTTATCCGCCTCGGCCTACAGCCTCAACGGATAACATCCTCTTTGATCTCCATAATTCTTCATAAGATACTCAGCCTCATTCATTAATTGTTAAATAATTTATTACTTATGGACTTAATTACCACTTATACATGTACATTGTAACAAATTCGTGGCTACTGACACAAATTTCCATTTTTCAAAATCTGTTCTCAGGTAAACCAGTATTAAATGTAGGTTAGCAGGCTAAAAGCTAACCCTAATAGGCTAAATACGAGAAACCTGAGAACGGATTTTGCCCACAACAGCTATATTAGTCCTCAAATTGAGTCCTGTACAAACTCAGCATCAAAAGCTAATTTTCTTTATAACAACAACAGAGTATTGTCACATCTTTGTGTACCATGGCATCTCAGATTTTACTCGTGCTCAGTTCTGACTAACATTGGGAATGACAGGAATGTACAGGAAACAGCGATATTTCTGATGGTCTGAGATTTCTCTGACAACATGGAACAAAGCCAAATTCTTACTTTAGACTCGTAATTGTGTAAACGTTTCTTGTTTGGTAGAAATTCAATCGTAGGGTCTACTTCACTTAATGTATTGTTTGTAAACTTCCGCCAGTGCTAATTATAAATTCTAGAATAACTGACTTTTCGCAATCAAGGATAAAATCAAACTATCGCAAACGATCAATGAATTGTGTTGGCGAACCGATAAAGAGCCACCTATTAAAAGGGCTTCAAAAAACACAGGTAATTGTAAGTCCTTGTTGTAAAACTTTCCACATTTAGTTTTCTTGTAGACTGGATAAATTTAATATTGCCCAAATTTTCATGAACTATAAACAAACGGGTTTAGCGTGAATAATTTAAAAGTTAAATTTGCTCTACCTGCTGTTGTATTCTCCCATCTTCCGTAACGACCCAGTGTGTTGCTCCTTCGCAGAATGGAAGTGACCATAAAGTAGCAAAGAAAATCAAATAAATTACTAAATTAAAATCATACATATTTGAAGGGATTCTTTCCTTCCACCATTTTTGCTGAGCATAAATGCCTCTGATTCGTGCCCAGTCTACTTTCAAACAGTGTAACGAGGCCAGAAGACAATACCTTCACGTGGTTTGAGAAGAAAGTTCCGTCACCCCCGACCCCCAGGGTCCCGGGAGGTGGGGGAATTAACAAAAGACCTGTTTGCCCCACTTCATGAGCGGGGATTTAACAGCAAATACGCATTTTTGGAAGCGAGGACAGAAGCGGGGATTTAAAATGAGCTGACTGAAGGAAAAGCCTCGTTTCCCAATTTGGTGTAGACTACGAGCAGTCTCTCTTTTTTCTGTAGTCCGTCGAGCAAAACGCGAGACACGCAATGGCCACGCGCGTGACTGATGGCGCGAGACGGGAAAGGCACGAAAAAAGAGAGACTACCCGCAAAGCCAGAGAGAATGGTCTTTCACGGTCTAGTGATTTTTCGGCGTCAAAACTGAAGTGTTGACAGGCCAGGCACGTGAAACGTGACTTTAGAGTTTGCTTGAACAACAGAGGTTTTTCTACTTTTCCTTTTAAATCGCAGCTTATGCAGTGCATAGAGTTAGAGTCGATTCTAAGCTAATTGACTGAGCAAATCTTAATTTTGGCCGCTGGTCTCACCTTTAGAGGTCATGAAGCTGGTCTATTTCTCTGATATTAATAATTCATTTCCTGTGCATTATGTTTTGAATGAGATCACCCGTGGCCTAGTTCTTGTTTGCGGGATCTTGAATTTTCACGGGACAGTGTTCTACATATCCTAATTGTAGCTTAACTTTACGCTGTAAGTCACTCAAGATCATTCTTTGGGCGCCGATTTGTTTTTTCTTTCATTCTTGAGAATCTTTGTTCCATAGCGCGATGTCCTGTAGTGCATCCGTTGGTAATAACTATTGTTTTAGCTTTACAAAATAAACAGTCTAAGAGTCTTCCAGCCTATGCTACTTTCTGTTTTAAGTTCTAAAGTAAGACTACCGTTTTGGAACTAAAGCGTTCCTTGACATAGCCTGTTCCAAGCGTTCAGATAGTGGAGAGCGGTGCGAAGTAAAGATAGCGTCACTTCCCCCCCTCCCTCGCTTTCATTTTTTCACGCTCCTTTTTTCTTCGCACCGCTCCCCACTATCTGAACGCCTGGAACAGGCTATCCTTGACAGTGAAGAGAGGCTTTGAGCATTTAAATTGCGCAATCACGTCACGTACCCGGAGAGATGAGACCTTCTTATGACGAACTTTCCTGCAGTGCTTCAGCCATCATCAACTTGTCAATGGTTTCGATTGTTGACAGTTTGTTGTCAACGCTTGACAAATCAGCCAATCGTATTTTGCGTTGTGAGGCCAACGCTTAATTCATTGGCTCTGGCTAAGCGGGCAGTCTCTCTTTTTTCTTCTCGGGCTACCGCCCTCGTTTCGCGCGTCTCGCGGCTTCGCCGCTCCCGCGCGCGTGCATTGCTCTCACTAAATCTGAAGAAAAAGAGAGACTGCTCGCAGTCTAAATTTGGTGAAGATGGAGGCAGAGAGATAATGCTGTAGAGAATCATAGCGTTGAAAACATAGAGGAAAAGTCAGAAACAGGACAGGAAGGAAAAAACCAGGTCGCCCTAGTCTCAGACACAAAAGGGTGGAGCAACATCAATATCACAAGCAATTTTAGGATTAACACCCAGGATATAAGTCGATCTTCAGGACTAGGTAGTCTAGGTAATTTAGCAAAGAAACCAACATGGTGTTCTCTCCCAAAACCTAAAAGTACACTGTAAGACGACACAAAGTAAACCCTCAGGGCACGGATAGAAGTACTCTCAACAGAAGTTTAGGAGACGATTTTTAGCTAAGACCACTGATTTTTAAGTAAATAGTGAATCAGTGGGCGGAACAGGAAATGTTACTGGGCCCAAAGTTTATCATTCAAGTTTGTTCACAATGTTCAGTTCTAATGGTTTGAGCCTTTTCACCGTTAAGAGACAGAAGAGTGTATGTTTCACCAGTGACGATCACCCTCCGACCAGTTTTATTGACCGTGCTTTGTTCAAGATTTCCCTCAAAAAAAGGTGCATGGAACATACTACTCTGATCGAGCATCGGCTCACAAAGACTGACTGGTATGGAGGCCCGTTCTGGTCAAAATTAATATAATAAAATGGCATCACAAGTGACTCTTTTGGCCAGTGCAGCATTTATTATGGACCCGTTGTGTATTTTTGTCATCACTACACAGGATTTTTTTAGTGTGTTGTTAATTCTTTTTAGCGGCATGAATTATTTTTTATTAAAGCTGTTTCCTTTTTTATGTTTTTGTATGAATAAATTTTTCATGTGTACCACAAACGATTTTTTAGTGGTACTGCGAATTATTTTTGATACAAGTATTGAGAATTATTTTTTCATCGTGCTGATAATTATTTTTCGCTGTATCGCGAATTTATTTTTGGGCCTACAATGCTTTGCGGTCCTTGCAGTTAAAGTGGACTAGTTCAGACTGGTTCGAGTCTTTGACTTCCTTGGGCGACCATTTTGAAAACTTTGAAGTGGAGGAGTGCTTTCAAAGAGAATGCCAACGCGAAAAATTGTCAGGGAAAGAAACAAAAAGGGTTTTCATCTTTCTTGCAAAATCTGTCACGAGCCAGTAGTCTCTGCGTTCGTGATGAGGTTTTCTGGACCCGGCGAAGCTTTAATTTACACAATTCTAACCCTTATTGAACATGACATGTCTGCCCAAGTGAACAGTTCTCTATCCCATGATCTTATACCTCGAGTCTTCGTACTACACATGCTGGCTTTCGGAACGAAGATGCTGTGAATGAGAGTGCCCCCTACCCTAAACTTCAGAAAGGATCTCCCGATTCTAATCCTGAGGGGCGGGCATAAGAACTAGCAGAGCCAAATGGATTCTAGATAGAACACCTTCGCAGAGTGCTGGTGAGAGTAGACCTCACTAACTAACTAACATGGGGAACTTGCTCTAGCGCCTTTACGATTTCCATTGATTGATGACGCCATAATTACATGTGAATTAAGCGAATTTTCTCCCACCTCAGAGGATGAACTTTCTGGTCTAGTAAAAAAAATCGCCGCCAAATCGTGTTCTCTTGATCCTGTACCTGCTTCTCTTTTACGCTATTGTATCGATGATATACTACCTATTATTAAAAGCGTCGTAAACCTCTCATTCAATTCAGCTTCATTGCCAATTTCCATGAAGAATGCAGTGTTGTCTCCTCTACTGAAGAAACCGTCCCTAGACTTTGAAATCTTTTCTAACTTTCGACCTGTATCTAACCTGAAGTTTTTGTCTAAAGTTATTGAAAAAGTTGCAGCCATGCGTCTGACGAATTATTTGTGTGATAACGACCTGAATGAAAGTCTCCAGTCTGCTTATAAGAAACACCACAGTTGTGAGACAGCGCTTCTACGAGTTCAAAATGATATACTGAAATCAATCGATGATAAACAATGCGTCGTTCTCTTGCTGCTAGACCTATCAGCAGCCTTCGACACCGTCGATCATAAGATATTGTTACACAGACTGCGATCCAGGTTTGGTATAAAAGGAAAGGCGCTTTCGTGGCTTCAGTCTTATCTTACGGATCGTTCCCAGTCAGTTCAGATTGATGGATTTACNAAGAAACCAACATGGTGTTCTCTCCCAAAACCTAAAAGTACACTGTAAGACGACACAAAGTAAACCCTCAGGGCACGGATAGAAGTACTCTCAACAGAAGTTTAGGAGACGATTTTTAGCTAAGACCACTGATTTTTAAGTAAATAGTGAATCAGTGGGCGGAACAGGAAATGTTACTGGGCCCAAAGTTTATCATTCAAGTTTGTTCACAATGTTCAGTTCTAATGGTTTGAGCCTTTTCACCGTTAAGAGACAGAAGAGTGTATGTTTCACCAGTGACGATCACCCTCCGACCAGTTTTATTGACCGTGCTTTGTTCAAGATTTCCCTCAAAAAAAGGTGCATGGAACATACTACTCTGATCGAGCATCGGCTCACAAAGACTGACTGGTATGGAGGCCCGTTCTGGTCAAAATTAATATAATAAAATGGCATCACAAGTGACTCTTTTGGCCAGTGCAGCATTTATTATGGACCCGTTGTGTATTTTTGTCATCACTACACAGGATTTTTTTAGTGTGTTGTTAATTCTTTTTAGCGGCATGAATTATTTTTTATTAAAGCTGTTTCCTTTTTTATGTTTTTGTATGAATAAATTTTTCATGTGTACCACAAACGATTTTTTAGTGGTACTGCGAATTATTTTTGATACAAGTATTGAGAATTATTTTTTCATCGTGCTGATAATTATTTTTCGCTGTATCGCGAATTTATTTTTGGGCCTACAATGCTTTGCGGTCCTTGCAGTTAAAGTGGACTAGTTCAGACTGGTTCGAGTCTTTGACTTCCTTGGGCGACCATTTTGAAAACTTTGAAGTGGAGGAGTGCTTTCAAAGAGAATGCCAACGCGAAAAATTGTCAGGGAAAGAAACAAAAAGGGTTTTCATCTTTCTTGCAAAATCTGTCACGAGCCAGTAGTCTCTGCGTTCGTGATGAGGTTTTCTGGACCCGGCGAAGCTTTAATTTACACAATTCTAACCCTTATTGAACATGACATGTCTGCCCAAGTGAACAGTTCTCTATCCCATGATCTTATACCTCGAGTCTTCGTACTACACATGCTGGCTTTCGGAACGAAGATGCTGTGAATGAGAGTGCCCCCTACCCTAAACTTCAGAAAGGATCTCCCGATTCTAATCCTGAAGGGCGGGCATAAGAACTAGCAGAGCCAAATGGATTCTAGATAGAACACCTTCGCAGAGTGCTGGTGAGAGTAGACCTCACTAACTAACTAACATGGGGAACTTGCTCTAGCGCCTTTACGATGGCAGTATAGTAGTTCCTGATTTTTAACATTATGTTTTTAATATTCGGAGATGAATGAGTCTGTCCAACGTCAGACACCTGAGATATAACTATAGCCAATAATGCCATAAAATAAATATTACATAAATCAATCGAATTTCCCAGGTCGTGAGGTCGACTCTAACATAGCACTCAGCGAAGGTCTTCTACCTCGAGTCCATCTGGCTCTGCTTCTAGTGCTCGCCCGTCTGGATTAGAATCGGGAGCTCTTTCCTGAACTGCAGGGTAGGGGAAACTCTCACTCTCTGCGTCTTCGTTCCGAAACCCAGCATGTGTAGTACGAGACGAAATTGGGTGGAGAACAGTTCAATCCGGCAGACATGTCATGTTCAATAAGGGTTAGAATTGTGTACGAGTCGTGAAGTCGCTTCGTAGTCTCCTCTATTAAATCTTCGGTCCAGAAAACCTCATAACGAACGCACAGACTACTAGCTCCTGACAGATTTTGTAAGAAAGATGAAAACCTCTTTCGTTTCCTTCCCTGACAATGTTTCGCCTTGGCATTCTCTTTGAAAGCACTCCTCCACTTGCAAAGTTTTCAAAATGGTCGACCAAGGAAGTCAAAAACTCGAACCAGTCCTTCAAATGCAAGGCCCGCAATGCATTGTAGGCCAAAAAATAAATTCGCGATACTGCGAAAAATAAATCTCGGCCCAATTAAAAAATAATTCTTGATATACATTAGAAAAATAATTAGAAGTACCACTGAAAAAAAATTCACGGCATGAATGAAAAAAGGATTCCTATCATTAAAACCAAAAATAACTCTTGTTGCTAAAAAGAATTACAAACACGCTGAAAAAAGAATTGTTTAGTGATGACAAAAATACACAACATGTCCATAACATTTGCTGCAGTTGGATTAAAACTGACTTGAAGTGCAATTTTATTGTCATGATTTTGAACAGAACGGGCCTTCATAGTTCCATGTTGTCACTAAAACTATTTCTTATACTCTAAGTAACAGTACATACAGCGAGCATAGAGGTCAGATCATGCATCGAGTGGTTGCTTTCAAGAGGTTAAAAACAATGGAAAATTATAAGTCAACCATCAGCCTGAAACGTCGCTTAGAAAAAAAGGTGGTCGTGTTCCATTTACAGGGCGTTCACTGGGGAAATTTTCGTGTTTAGGTTAGTATAGGTCAGGCGATAGGTGGTCGCTTTAACAGGGGAGGTGGTCACTTACTACAGCTGGTTGCACATAGAGGTGCGACTGTAAATACATATGGTTGACTTTGTGGAAGGGAGCCCAGCCGTGACCAGTTCTGAACTGCATTAGGCTGATTCCGGGAGTGCTTGTCAGCCCCCTGGAATTTCCGTAATTTTCCAACTTGGGTAGGCACCTCCTGGAAAAGATATTTACGTCGCAAATAATGTTGCACTTTCGGCTATTATGCAAAAGTTAATTGTTTCAGCGATAAAGAGAGAAAAAATCATTTTACTCATTGTGACCAAACCAACAACAACAACATAAGCTTTATTTGCATGACTATAATTATGTAGTTACAGTATTGCAAAAGCTTCAACCTTAAAAAAAAAACAAACAAATCATAACAATGATAATGCAATGCAATGATTACTATAGTCAATCAAGTGTCATCAGCATGATTTGACAACAAATTATTACGTAAATCATTACATAATGAGACAAATTTCAACAAATGTGAATTTACGGAAAAATTCTGTGAATTCATCAATTTAATTATTAATTCTGTGTAAGATAGCTGATTTAAGTCGACAAAATTTTGTTGGATTTGATTGTAGAATTTCTCCCTTGGGATTGAGTATTTTGGACAATGGAAGAGAAAATGAAATTCGTCTTCAATTATACTAGAGTTACAAATAGCAGAATCTATCGTTGCGGGAAGTTTGATTATATCTTCCAGTTTCAATCATGAGTTTGTGGTTACTTATACGAATTTTCACTAAATCTTTCCTATTAGCAGAATTTCTAATTAAGTCTCGATAACTTGAAATTTT